GACCTGTTTGGAAAACACTGGCCTAAATGCTTTACAAGTACTTTGCATTGTTAAAAAAGTATTAACAAAGCTTTATAGAAATGAGTAATCTTTAATAATTGGTTTCAGCTTCTCAGGCAGAGTACAACTGCTTATTTTGAGAGAAATGCTTGGCACAGCTCGAGAAAGAACAGCCAATGCCCCTGCTAGCAGAGGAATGAAGAGCAATAGGATGTAGTGACAACTCAAGTATCCCTAATTTCAGACATCCTCAGTGACGTTGGCTTTCAGAACTGGAAGTGCCTGGATGTGACCACATGCATCCATGAGCACATTATGAAATGATTGATTGCTCAATGAATATTTTTAATTAGTATTTTCTTTTTAAATGCTCCATTTACCCTCTTCACTCAAGATATTTCTGCCACGTGCAGTTTTTATTGGAGTAAATATAGTCCCTTCAGAATAGCTGCTTCCAGCCAGTGCAGAGGTATCTTGATCCTGTTTTGATTTTTTCCTTCCTCTGACTCATTCCTTTAATCCCAGTTATGTTTTCTCAAGTGAACTGTACATACTCATATTGACCCCAAGAGTTACAGACTCAAAGAACTGGGGCAGACAAGAGGATATAAAGGATAAGAAATCTATTTTAAGCAAAACATTTTCTAAGGTCATATACTTTTAGATTTAATGTCTTTATAACAAGTAAGAGTCCAGGTTATTAATATTTCCTACAATCAGTGGGTGAAACACATTACTGCAACAGACAGTATTCTATGAGGTGAACTTGCTGCTGATTTTCTCTTTGCAGTTTTTGTTGTTTGGGGTCCTTCTTGCTTTTCCAGGCAGAGGATGAGAAATGGACTGAAGGCTCTCACTTCTAATGAAGTCAAGCAGTTCTGAGTTTTAGCTCTGCAGGAAAATATTTGAAGGTTTCAATTGTTAAAGATCTGTGTGAAAACCATTTACATACCAAAATCAATTGACATTTTCAGTTTATTTTCAGAACTCAGCCTTTTAAATTTTAATTAACAATTCAAACTGTTTCGCAAAGCTGCAATTTACCTGACCCCAGGAGAAATCAGAGCTTGTTTAGCCTATGAAAATCTGAGCCTGGTTTGCTCTGGGGGGGGTCAGCCCTGGAGTCCTGAGCACACTCTGCTCCTCTTCAGGTTTCAGTGGCAGAGCACAGGGGCTGCTGGCAGGAGCACACGGCTGGGTGCGCGTCCTGGGAACATCCTGGGCTCAGAACGCTGCGGAGATTCACCCAAAGGTAAAGATCTGTAATGCCTGGGACTGATACCCAACATTTGGGAGAGCAAAGTAGGGGGGAGCTAACAGAATTGTATTTTTTCCTTTCCCTTGGCAGTAAGGGGCTGGAGGGGGAGGTCATCCTTCTAGGAAGGAGAGCAGAGCCAGTTACCTGCCCACATCAGCTGCACGGCGTTGCATAAGGCCTCGTTTAGTAGCAGGTAATAATCTTAATTTAAGCATGCACGTCCCTGCCCTCGCCTCGCTGCTCTGCATTATGGGCTCGTGAGTTTGCTTATGCTAAAGGGCAGAACAAAAATAAATTTCCATACTCCCAGGCATGTTCCATCAGCCTGTGTTGGAGCATGGGCCAGTGTCCAAATACTTCGGATATGAAGTGAATTTGGGCTCCAGGACAGGCTCAGACCTGCTCATGAAATTGCAGGGCGATGACACCAGGGTCCTGCTTTTATATTTGCAGTTGACTGGCTGCCACCACTGGGACCCCCAGCTGTGACAGCAGAGCTCTCTTTTAATGTCCCGGCTTAAAGATGACCTTGGCTTTCCGTGGTCAGCAGGGACAGAACACTCTGTTTTGTGTTACTGTTGAAGAGGAACTGGAAATTCTGAATTAACTGGGTGGAGCCGTAGCTCAGGTAGACAAAGATTCTATCTTGGTTAATTTTTTTCATGTAATGATTTTTGTTTTGGTCATGTAGGCTGAACACCCACCCCAAGACAGGGTGTTGTTTTCAGTCTGGGAGCCGGCTCTTGCTGGAGAGCTTCAGAAGGGCTTCCCAGAGCCGGCACAAAGGACTGTCCTGCTGGAAGGTGCCCTCCCGATGCCACCGCTTGCTGCGGTGCACCTGAAGCTTTTGCCTGCTCACAGGGTGGGGTGGGTCGGGTGTATTTGTGGGGTACGTGGGGTGTGCTCCCCCTGCCCCGCAAAGGAACGGCGATGGCAAGAGCTGGCAGCGAC